AAGTGTCGCGTGGCATCCTCGATGTATGCTTCGCTCATCTCCGCAGCTGGGAGCCATGCCTTCACGTCGCCGTAGAAGCGTACAGTGGCACCATTCTTGCGAACGCTGACCAAGATACCAGGGCCAGTAGCACCCTTGGAGAGCATGGAGTAGTTTGTCCATGGCTTAACATCTGAGTTGACGAGAGACTTCTTTAGTGTGAGTTGGATCTGATGCCTGGCGGGTTCCGTGTAAAGCACACGGGCTGTGACAGGCAGTCCTTCCCTAAACTTGCGCTCCGGATGTTGTAGACGGACGTCGGCCAGATGCATCTCTGGGACTAAACCGGTGATGCCTTCGGCGAGGTGAACAAGAACGGCGGTAGCTCCCTTCTTGTCCGCAATGAGCTTGTGCACCTTGCCCTTGACAACTTCACCAGCCTTAATATCCTCAATGCGAAGGAAGGGCTGATCAAGGATCTTCTGCTCGAGCGAAAGTTGGAAGAGTCCGTCCAAAGCATTGTAGCCTACAATCCGTGCTTTGTGCTTTGAGTCAAGCTTGTATGCGCCAGCCTCTTCGGAGAGAACGTCGACCTTGTCGTCAGAAAGTCTTGAAACGTGCGCAAAACCGACAACATCTTTGATGCCGAGATCGAAGAAAGCACCGTGGCTTGGCGCTACTTTGATAACTTTCGCGCTGTCGATGATGGTGGATATGGGCAGGAGGTCGATCGGAGGCTTGCGCTCCTTGGGTTTGCCAGACATGCGGGTGGACAGACTAACCACATGGTCTAGCAATGATACACCGACTTTCCTGGGATCGGAGTCTGGACATGTGAACAGGACACGGGCCTTGACTTTGGAGCCGATCTTGTGCTTGGTGGAGATATCGGCAGCCTTCTCAGTCGCTCCAGAATGGTATGCGTCGGCAGTCGCGTCTATGAGACCGAGGATCTTGCCGGTCAGCGTGCTGGATGTAGTGTCAGTAACAAGTACATCGACGGCGGTTCCTGGGAGGAAAATATCGACAGTGGGCGCTTCAGTCAGCGTGTTGCCCTTGGTCAGGTTGCCTGCTTTGGTGTGGTCTGCGGAGAGCTTGACAATGCGCCCATCCGAGTTAAGGCCTGTGACCAGGCACATGAAGACGGCGCCTTCTTGTACCTTGGCATGCTGCACCTTGGGACCTAATTCGCCCTTTGGCAGGAAGCCCTTCAGGCTGCTATCGTCGAGGCCGAGGTCCATGACCAAGCCGTGGTCCTCATTGCTGACTACGGAAGCCTGCACCATGCTGTTTACGGGTATCTTGCGCTTGTTGAGGCCCTTGTTGACCAGCTTGGGATCGATGGATAGCTCCAGCCTCTTTCGTGCTCTTGCACTGGCGTCGCTTGTCGCTGTGATGCATGCGCGGACATACTGTCCTACCGAGAACATATCCTCTAGGTGCACATCTTCAAAGTCTTCATCGTCGCTTCCCTCTTGCTTGTCCGCCCCCTCCTCCTTGAGGAGTTTCTCTAGCCTCTCGTTGAGCTTGTCGGACACGGCGGTGAGCGGGACGTAACCAACGAGGTTGTTCGGGAGCGCGAGGACGATGTCTTGGTGAGATATGTCTGTGATTTGGCCGAGAATGATGGTTCCAGGCGACAATTTCTGCGATCGTTAGCATGACCCTCGCATTGCGCAGAGACTGGCGTACCTTGTAGCTCAGACCCTCTGCCCTCACGGTGTCGTCCTTCTCTCCACTGTCGTGCGACTTCTTGCTCTTCTTGAGCATCGGCTTCTTCTTGGACTTGGCGGCAGATCTTTCCTCGTCCTCAGATCCCATGTCGCTGAATCCATCGTCGCCGCCGCTGGGTCGCTTTTCGCCAGACTGCTCGAAAAGAACATCCTGGTTCGCCTTGATCGAAATCTGCTTGTGCTCAAGCGGCGTCAAGACGCTGGCGCCTCCTCTGGGGAACGACTTCTCCTCATCTTTGAAGACACTGGGCTTGGGTGCGGCGCTCTCAGGCTTCGACTTGGCCGGTGATGGCTGCTCGGCATCGGATTTCCGTCGCTTCGCTGATCGGTCGGTGGATGCGCCCTTTGCCTTTTTCGATGGCGCGGCGCCATGCTCTGCTTTTCGTTTGATTGCGCCCATGATGCGCAAGTTCTCCGGTTGTGGAGAGGGTGGTGGTACTCAGGTTTGCGCCAAGAGTTCGAGAGTCGCATATGCTCTTCGACTTTTTTGGTGGGTCCATGCGCGCAGATTCTCCGACCCCCGACGACAGGGAAGCCGCGGCTGGCACGTGAGCTAGAGTGGCAGGGCAACGCGCGCGAAAGAGAGCGACTCCTCGATGCAACAGCTTTCACGAGTTGTAGGAAATCCTAGACCACCAAATGAAAGTAAATTTGCATCCACGGTGTTTTCTGCGGCAATTCCGGAACTTTTAGCTATGTTGTACGGCAAACGGAAGGATATCTCGAGGGAAGGCCATGGCCATTAACGCCCAGAACGGCATAGTGCAGCACGTCGGTCGCGCCAGCTCTTCGCGACGTGCTTTGGCCGTGCGCCTTCCTCTCCAACCTCGCCGTCATTTATGGGCATTCGTCCTCTATTACTATCGGCATCTTCAATTGCTCGCGTGTCTTCGCTTGGTCGTTTATTGGTGTTGCTTGTGTATGTGTACTGCTAAAAAGGAACATGTCTTCTCCATGCGCCCCTCGAAGTCTGCTGCTCCAAGAGCCCACGCCTGAGCTCTTTTCATCACCACCTCCACCCTCCTCCGCGACTGTTTGCTCTCGCAAACCCAAACGGCCACCGCCTATCACGCCCAAGCGCTTTACACGCTTTTTCACCCCGCGAAACTCCAAAGATGTCTCATCACGCACCACCCTCACGAGGTCGGGTCGCCAACTACAAGACATCACACGATCTGCTCTCAATCGCAGCCGGGAGACGCGGAGCACCCCACGCAAGACAGTCAACTTCGTCGACATCGAGAACCCAATGCGAACCCCCCAGAGCAGCGCGCGGAAGCGGAAGATACCCTACCTGTCGCCCGCTAGCTCACCAGCCCAGTCGTCACCGTCGAAGCGATCGCGTTACGTCACTCCACCTGAAATCGATATACTTCAAGACGAGCTCGACTTGGATGATGACGAGCCTGCCATATACCCTGTGCCTATCCGAAGGTTAACAACACTGGGTCGGCCGTCGAGAACACTGCAGCGGTCGTTCGGTGGAATACTGGGTGTAGGAAGAGGGTTTCGACGAGACCATGGCGCCTCATGGCAAGACCAGGCAGCCAATTTCTACAGTGGCGCAGACGACCTACATCAGTTGTCGCAGGGCGCGCCGCCCTTCTGCACGGCCAGTTGCAACAGTATGTCATTCACTCATTACCCTACGTCATCAGAATACTGACAACCCCTAGCCAACTCTATGCTTGCTATAGGCGATGAAGACGGATACATCCACCTACAAGACTCCGAAGGTGACTTCTCCAAACCCCATGTGTCATGGAAAGCCCACTCCAACGCCATCATGGACGTGCAGTTCTCCTCGGACGACCTACACCTCGCCGCCGGTTCTGGAGATCAGACTGCACAGATTGTCGATGTTCGCACCCAACAAACTCTTGCTGTGCTGGCGAAACACAAGTCGTCAGTAAAGCAAGTCCGCTTCCAGCCCGGCGACGATAAGATGGTAGCGACGTCAAGTCGAGACGGTGCAGTACAGATTTGGGATCTCCGATGCAAGGGCAACCAAGGCTCAATACACTCGGCCTGGGGCTCCGATGCACCGTATGCCAGTGTTGTACGCACGCTGGCTTCAGCGCACGCGGACATCAGTCTCCCGACATCCACATCGTCGGCCACCCGATCACTCTCCAACAGCAAAACCGAAAACATCAGCCGACGGAACGACATTTCAGTGACAGCGCTTTCGTTCATGCCCGCAGGCCGCGAACACCTCCTCCTGACCGCGTCAGACGCATCGACATGCGTTAAGCTCTGGGACATCAGAGGCCGATACTCCCTGCGAGGGCCAGCCATCCCCATCGCAACCACACGCCATCCGGAATCCCACAACCGCCACCGACACTTCGCTATCAACTCCTTGACTCTTAGCGGCGATGCATCACGACTATACGCCCTCAGCAAAGACAACACCGTCTACGCCTACTCCACAAGCCACCTCATCCTCGGCGTAGCACCAGAGCTATCCACAACCTCTTCCTCAAAACAGAAATACTGCGGTGTAGGCCAAGAAGGCCTAGGACCCATCTACGGCTTCCGGCACCAAAACTTCCACGCCGGTTCCTTCTACGTCAAGGCATCCTTACGCAAAGCATGCGAAGACCGCACCGAGATGCTCGCTGTAGGCAGCACAGACGGCTGCCCCGTGTTGTTCCCCACCGACGAAAACTTCCTCAAACGCGAATCAAGACACGACGACGACGCAGACGACCTCCCTGACATTACTGGCATTGCCGCGAAATCCGCACGACCCACGCTTTCCCGCACATCGACAAACAGCCGCAGCCCAGACACCATCCCCATATACGAACACGGCACAGCTCTCATACGAGGACACGATGCGGAAGTCACGAGCGTATCATGGGCGCGTAACGGCAGCTTAATCAGCGTGAGTGACGACTTCCGCGTCCGACGTTGGAAAGAAGGAAGTCAAGCTAGAGACCTCCGCATGGGTGGTGAGAGCGAGGGAAGGAGATGGCAGTGCGGATGGGCCGCTGTAGGCGACGGATATGATGATGACGAGTAGGATCGTCCGCGAGTTTTTGTACGACGTTGTTTATTATACCCCAGCTATTGATTGTGTAGGAATATGAATGAAGAGAGAATGATGATTGTGGAACTTGACTTGCTTGTCGGTGCCTATCATGTGTTCATGTGTTCATGCGTACGATGTGACTATGACCCTGCTACAGTGGAACGACAGCATCGTCCTTGCGACACTATGGTTGGAGCAAGCCACTGATGAGCCTCTTCCGCCATACACTATCAGTCGAGACATCCGCACACCTACCCCTTCCTCAGCCAAGGTCTTCCTTCCACTTTGTCATGCTTCGCATCTCGATCTTCTTCTCCATCATCGACATTCTGCTTCTCGCCAGCCTCACAGAAGCTTCCTGGTAACAGCCTATACGTCCGCTCATCAAATCGGTCCGCCTGTGTACTTTCGAAACTACCAAAAGACCCTGATATCACCCTGCGAGCTTCACATAGCATGGTGCCAAGGAAGCTTGTTGGCGTAGAGGACGGAGGAGTGACGGGTTGTACCTGTGAGTTTGATCGACCTGACTGCGGTGATGCGGACGTGTTGTCCGTCTGCACCCCCTCCATCCGGTGTACACGTGCTGGTAACGGCTTGATAGGCCGATCGAAGCTGCCAGGCCTACTTGTACCCGTACCTCCAGGCCCTGACATCGTCTTCGACAGAGACTTGTACTCCAAGGGTGCAGCAGGGAAATCCGCTTCTTGAGACGGCCGCACCGGGAAGTTCTCCCATTGCGACGCTGTAGGTGTAGATGGAAGTGAGGTATCGTATCTCGTTGGCAGTGAAGGGTAAGAAATCGTACTGTCGGAGTATGTGCTCTGCGGTTGGTCTCGTGTTGGCGTAGAAGCAGCAGTAGAGGTAGAACTAGAAGAAGACGTCGAGTTCCGCAGGGAATCGAATCGCTGTTCCAACACTTTCCCCTGCCCGTCCGTGCCACCACGCTTCCTCTTCTTACCCCACACCTCTTCGTCTCGCTGTTTCCTCTTGACCTTGTCGGTTACATCGGCGTACATAGTGCCGTTGAACGATTTCCACACTTCGACGCCTTTGCCGAATACGGTTTCGACTTTTCGATTTGTGTCGTCGGTCATCTTGTTGAGATACTCTTGTGCTTCGTCCTCGTTGTCTTCTTCGTCGGTTTCGGAGCCGTGCGTTGTGTCCATTATGCCGGTGTTGGAGGTGGTTATGAAGGAGGTGGAACTTCCCCCGTTTCGCCCGCGGAAGGTGTCGAAGAGTGACATTTTCGGTCGCTTTTGGGCTGGGGCGGAGGGTGTAGGGTTGGGTACATTGTTCATGTTGTTGGATGGTGTGTGTGTGTGGCGCAATTCAGGAAATAATGGACGGGGTAGAATGCACTCGTGGCAAGCGGGCGGTGCTAGCGAGTTGATAGATGTGTTCGCGAGTTAAGAATTGGTCGATTTAGTGGATGTTCACACGAAGTTGGAGCCTAGATCTGGGTGTTTTGAGACCTACGATAATTGCTTTCACTGTTGTATCGAGTTGTATTCAAAGACATTGATCAGCTGACACCTCCAGGGCTGTATCGCTTGCCATAATGTCTCATGTTTCCTGCAATGTTCACAGATCGTGCCTATGCGTCCTAGTGTCGCCCTTTCGGCGTGTTCATCCAGTGTCTTTGCCCAGATAAAGCCCCATTTCTGATACCTACGACGTTCATTTTGCGGAGCGTTTGTGATGTTTGTCGGCATCGGCCTTCGGACGAGAGATGCAAGCAGCTTTCACGGGTAAACTCTTCTGATATGGCCACGATGAGCGAGGTTTCGAATCCGATTGAGAGCCCTCTCTCTCTGGTGGTCCAGAAAGCACGCAACTGGACATGACAAGGCCAAACCATGAACATACAGATGATAATTCTCCAGAAGGTGAAGAGGGTCTGGATTTGAAGACGCCCGGGCGGTACCTTAGTACCTACCCTGAAAACGCGCCTCGAAGGCGTCCACTGCATCTGTGCTTGGCTGATAAAGTAGCGGAACACTGTTTAAAGAGTGAGCTTGTTCATAGGCTGGCGACGCTGCGTTGGTGGGTCGGTGGTCGGGAGTTTCGTGGAGGGTCCGGAGGTCGGAACCACTGCACGTGACGACCGACGATCGCTGACGAGATCGGCCTGCCTCCGCGGACCTCGAACTTCATGATCGCGCAACAGCGAACCGCGGACCAAGCCGTCAGGAAGCATCCCACGAACGTCCAGCCGCCGCCGTGCCTCCCGACCGCATAAGTGCGTGCCGAAAGGATGCCACCCCTATCTCGATGAAGCATTCGATCGATCCGATGTATGAGGGTGGCACAGTCGATCGCAGCTTACTCGCCATCACTCATCCTGCAGCGCAAGCACCATCCTCTTACCCCAAGTAAGCTCGGCATGCACTGATCGCCGCTAAAACAGCCTTCGGGACAGAGCCGTCACACGTCAATCCTTTTAGTGGCTGTCAGAACATCCAACGAGGATGCTTTCAATCGCAAACGGCAACTTGCCCTTACAGATCTTCTGCAAGCCATCATTGCGACAATGCATACGGCTATAGCATCGCCGACTTGTACTCGCTTAAGATGTCTGCAGATCATGGGACTGTGTCATACCTAGTGAAGTACAGTCCTACAGTATATAAGATGGACGGCGATATATGCTTTCGCTGCGTTCGAGGTACCTCGTTGAGCATCACATCCCGACGAGATGCGCGTATCTGCAACGACAGTCAGTCTCTTGGCCTCTTTGGCCTCAGCCGACCTTGACAGCCCAAGCTTACTACAGCAATTCTACGCTCCTGGGCGTTTACTTGGTAACTCCTTCGGAAACCCTGGCGTTAATGCGACATACGACTATGTCATCGTTGGAGCTGGCTTGGCCGGCGCTCTGACGGCATCCCGGATTGCAGACGCGTTGCCGAACATGACCGTTGCAGTCATTGAAGCGGGCTCTTTCTATGAGATATCGAACGGTAACTACAGCCAGATGTGAGTAAATGCGAAACGGTACTACAGGCGTACATGCTGACCGTGGCAACAGTCCGTACTATTCGACTAAGTATGTTGGCCCGAATCCCGAAGATTACCAGCCGTTGATCGATTGGGGTATCTTCACCGAGCCTATACCTGGTGCCAACGGAAGACGCTTTCATTATGCGCAGGGGAAGACACTTGGGGTATGTTCTGATCTTGAACAAATGAAGCTGTTCAAGAAACTGACTTTGGGCAAATGTGCAGGGTAGTTCGGCACGAAACCAAGAGATTTATCACAGGTAAATATCTTCCATACGTACTTGCACTGCAAGATTTGACTGGGCTCCACAGAGCGACCAAAGGCTGGTATGAGTCGTTCGCAAACCTCACTGGAGATCCCGCCTATCTATGGGACAACATGTTTCCCTTCATGAAGAAAAGCTTCTCGTTCACGCCCCCAGATGCTCGTTTCCGCGCGAAGAACGCAAGCAACGTCAACTACACGCTTTCTGCTTTCGATGCCCCGGGAGGCCCTGTTCATTTAAGTTTGCCCAAGTACGCGCAGCCCATATCTTCGTACGGCCCAGAAGGATACGCAGCCGCTGGAATGAATGCGGCGAATGGCTTCCTAGATGGAAATCTCTTAGGGTATGGCTACTGGCCGTTTACCCTGAGGCCCGAGGACAGTACGAGAAGTAGTACCGAGTCTGCTTTTCTTTCTCCGACAGCTGCAAAGACATCCTTGAAGATCTACCAGTCCTGCATGGTGCGTAAGCTCCTCTTCAATGAGTCTAAGCGCGCCATAGGTGTGAACGTCACCGTCGCTGGGATGAAGCCGTTCATCGTTCATGCCCGGCAAGAGGTCATCGTCTCGAGTGGTTTTATTCATAGTCCCCAACTGCTCATGGTTTCTGGAATCGGACCGCGCGAGGTGCTCGAGCGACACAATATAAATGTTCTGTCAGAACTCAGCGGCGTGGGTCAGAATCTCCGAGACACTCCCGCTATTGGTGGTGTCGTCCATCGCACGAACGTTCCTGGAAGAAGTGCCTGGGAGCGCCAGTCATCATCTTTCGAAGCCGCTGTTGAGCAATACTTGACGAACGGATCTGGCCCACTCAGTAGTCCCGCGAGCGATTTCGCCGCCTGGGAAAGGTTCCCCGAGCGCTTTACGACGAATATGAGCCAATCAACTCTCGAATTTTTGCGGAATCTTCCAAGCGATTGGCCGAACGTGGAGTACGTTTTGCAAGCTTCAGAACGCGTTCTGTCCTCGGCCCAGACTGCTAGCGACACGGGTGTCATTGGCACAATCTTGACTTCCACTACGAGCCAGGGAAATGTTACCATCCAGTCAGCTGACAATGCTGTTGCACCCATCGTCTACGTCGGCTGGCTTGATTCGCTCGAAGACCAAGAACTTGCTGTAGCGGCATACAGACGCGCGCGCACGATCGCAGCCAGCATATCCGCGTTCGGGGAGGAGATAGCGCCGGGGGTGAACATCACGACCGATGCGCAGATCTTACAGTACATCAGGACGAAGGGCATGGGTGCTATTCATCACGGCGCGGCGACGTGTGCGATGGGAAGAGATGCATCGAGCGGGGCGGTCGTAGACTCCAAAGCTAGGGTGTTCGGCGTGAGTGGCCTGAGGGTTGTGGATGCGAGTTCTCTGCCGTTCTCGGCACCAGGGCACACGCAAGGTGTCACTTATGCGCATGCGGAGAAGCTCGCGCAGGATATCATTGATGCAGCAAATGATATCTAGACTAATATAACGTGAGAAATAACACCAACGCACTCGCAGCATGCGATCACACACGAGTCTGCGATACCGTCAGCATCACGAAATCCGATGAGTTGGATGATGATCTTACAATGAATATGACCGTCCAGAATAGCGTCAAATAGAAAAGGTACCACCCCAGACAGTGACGAAGGTGGCCACACCATGACATGGGTTCGCGCTTGCCCGACAGTTTGTCAAGCAGGGGCATGGTGAAGAAGGCGTGTAGCGGGGCAACAACAAACATGAAAGCTTGCAGGTGCAGCTCGTGCGGCTCTGCTCCTGCTGTGAAGAAACGCAGGAGCGGCGGAATGCGGAGGGTGTCGGCTTCAACACGTGATAGTACGACGGCCAGTCGGTACATCGTGAACTGGAACCTAGCCAGGGCCGCGTCGAAATGAGACATTTCAAACGACGGCTGACGGTGTTGATAAGGTGAGTACTGGAATGTGGCGTAAAGGTAGTCAAGTATCGTAGGAAAAAGATTGCGAGTTGTTAATATGGTCGCGCAGCACTAGCTACACGCCATTTAGTGGTCACCATCCACTGGATCTCGGAACCTAGGTAGCAAGCTGCGAGCCACTCATATTCTCGGCAATCGCGATAATGTCCATGGTTGCACAAGACGTGTCGCGGAAAGAACACTTGCCTGATTTGGCATGGAGGGGATCAATGGTGAGGCTGCATGCACACCGTGGAAGATATCTAGCCCATATGCACCCACATTGCGTTCACATTGGACCAGTGAGAATTTAGGTGTATGTGACGATAAAGATTACTTTTGATGTTGAGACTTACATACTCTTCAAGTAGTAGTCCGAGGTAATGCCGGCGGGTTCCTTGCGCCCTGAACAGTCTGAACTCTTCACATCGTAATCCTTCGTAACCTTGATAGCGCCAATGTCGCCCTCTGGTGCCAAGTGCCCTGTCTGTGATGTCGCTCCGCCTTTCCGACACAGCTCTTCTTCCGACTCAGTAGCTGTGACACCTTGTTCCAACCGTGTGATGCTCCCTCTGCGAGCCTTCTTCCCCCATCTCGCTCCCCGCGATCCTTTTGCTTCAGAACCGATAGTCACGATCTGGCCAAGTGATGAGAGCTTGTAGCCTTTTTGGGTTGAGCTGCCTCCGCCAGGCCGCGATCCAGATGAACTTCCACCCCCGAATTTTGTCCACAGTGCCTTGAGGCTCGGCAGGTTGACCGCGATGATCGCAAATTGTATTTCGAGTGCCGCGACAATGACCATCTTTCCCAGCACCCATGATGTGTCCGGTGAGTCATTGAGCTCGAGGAGGGGCATGAGTCGGAAACATGCGATGATGACGGAACTGCTGCCAAAGACCATGACGCCCAGTACTGCAGCTTTGCGTCGAAGCGACATTTGGAGATTCATGACGGTATATATAGGGAGGATGAGGATGTAAAAGTCTTCCAAGATGTTCTGCAACATGATCAGTAATTCGTTCTTTCGAAAGGCAGTCCGGGACTTACGAGGATGGAAGGCCCTATGAGAAGGACGAGTTTGCTGATGCAGACAGCATCTGGATGCG